ATGGCAGTCCAATTCCATGATCCACGTTGATTCAGTGTCCTGTACTCGGGCAGACATAGGACAACCAGAGGTAGAGTCATCATCTGTTTTTCATTCCCTTGTTGGGCTAGGCAGGAGGGTGCTGGGGGATAAGATGGAGCAGTCTGTTTATGCGACTAGGGATGTCCCTTTTTAGCCTCCTGAGAGATCTTGACTTTCATGGAGATACTCTGCAATCCTCTCCTGAACGTGTCTAGGAAGGGTAGTCTTATTTCTCCCTGGGCAGTAAGGCACTTTCCCATGACACACTGCGAAGAGTTCAGTTGGCACCATTGCCGTAAACAGGCTAATAGCATACAGGACTAGGTGGCTTCGGGACATCAATATCATCTGCATTCTCTGCGCCTTGTGATCCTCAGAAGTGAGATAAATCAGCTAAAATTACCACTGCCTGTAGAAAATAGTGCCAATTTTCAGTGCCATTGTCCTATACTCATGGAATAGGGGCCAGAATTCTATAACTTCATGCAACAGAATATCCCTCTCAGCCAGTCCTCGCCAGGCCATACTCATCATGGTTGGAGCTGGAGAGTGGTGCTGTACTGAGGTGCTCCAAAGCTGAACTGCCAATAAGCATTTCTCAGAAGTATTTATGGGACTTAAGGGAAGGGAGTTTGGAAGCTTATCTTTCTTGTAAATCTAATGGAGCAGGTGTCTGTTTTTATCAGCAGCTTTTAGTGTGGAGCCTGACTCCAAGGAGGAGGAGAAGGAAGAACATGCCCTCCATAGTGCTCTGCGAGATCCTACAGGCGAGTGCTGCAGCAGCCTGTGAACAAGGGCTTGGCGGGCCAATATGACCAAGAGCCTAGAGAAAGACAAAGCACAGGCAAAAGGCCTAGGAATCCCAGGAAGACAAGGAGCAGGAAATGCACCAGGACATAATGGGGCTTCTCAGGCAACAAACCCAAATGCTGCAGACTCTGGCTGACCTACAGGCCCAAAAATCCTTGGCTCACCAGCTTTTGCATCCCTTGCAGAACCATGGTCGGTGCTCCCTACGCCCAGGGCCAGATTAAGGCAGGGGCTTTAGGGGTTGCAGCCCAGGGCCCCGGCTCAAGAGGGTGCCCCGCAAAAATAAATCATAGGCAGCCATCTCTGGGCCACTAAAAGGGGTGCTCAGGCTGGCTGCCTGCCCTGGCCCCACGCCGCTCCTGGAAGTGACTGGCTGCTGGCACGTCTTCGCAGCCCCTGGCAGGGAGTGGGGGGGCCTACGTGTGCTGCTCCACCCCCAGCACCGTCCTCACAGCTCCCATTAGCCGGGAACCAGACATTGGGAGCTGCAAGGGCGGTGCTTGCGAGCACAGACAGTGCATGAAGACGTAATGTCCCCTCCCCCAGGGGCCACAGAGACGTGCCAGCAGCCTGCGGCTTCCAGGAGTGGTGTGGGGCCACAACATGCAGGCAGCCTGTCTGAGCCCTGCTGCACCGCCGGCCGGGAGCCGCCTGTGGTAAGCGGCTCCTGATCAGAGCCTGCACCCCACACCCCCTCCTGAACCCCAATCTCCTGCACCAAACTCCCTCCTAGACCCCACACCCCAATCCCCTGCCCCAGCTCCCTCCTGCACCAAACTTCCTCCCAGCAAAAGAAGACTTGTATACAGGGGCCCAAAGGGGAGTTAGTCCAGCCCTGCCTACACCCCCAACATACCATATGGTAGCATGGACTGCATCTTTTTCACCCCTACTACTCCACGCCACAGGATAACAAGGGAAACCACAATTTCACAGACTCTGACCTGTGAAAACCACATTGGTGTATGTGTAGCCACAGCGACCTGCACTGAACTACCTTTCTGTTTACACAAATGGACAAAAATGTTTGCTTCCTTTTCAATTGGAGATTTAAAAGTTTCAACCCATTAAGTTGTGTGTTTGTTTTCATTTTGATTTTGTGCACTGAATTTTTGCACTCAACAACGTTGTATTTTTGGAGACTCAAAGTATCCTTATCAGAATGCACAGAAGAAGCCAAGAAATGAAACAATTCTCAAACGGACACCAAGCACCACAGTCGCAAAGCAATACCACCAGAAAAACACCCAGGACCCAGCCATGTTTATACGTGAACAGCAAGCATCACACAAGTCATAGTGGCATGCAAAGCCCCAGGCCCAGCAGTATTTATAATCTGCAGCAAGCACAACAGAACAGATACCAGCAGTCAAGAACCAAAAAATACCTGGTTTAAATTATGCAAGACTGACACGGTCTCAAGACAGCAAGAGAGAACGCTACTGTAGCTGACTGAAAATGAACTTTTAAAGCTTCCCTCAAACACAGAGCTCCAGGTTGGGCTCCTCTAATAGCCTTGGTGTTTGGATGTTCAAATTTAGCAGAAAAGTGGTCAACCTTGCCCCTCCGACCCTGGTGGTAGCTTTCCCCCCTTTGCCTCACATATATTATGCAGTACACAACAGGCAGCTATAACCATTGGGATGTTTTTCTCCCTGAGATCTAATCCAGTGAGTAATTCACTGTCAGCATTTCCACATCACCAATGTTAATCAACCACCCAGGAAAGAATGTCCCTGCTTGCAGCTTTCTGAACAATTCTGTGATCTTAAAGATGTAAGCATCATGCACCTTCCCATACCAACCTTCATTGATATCAGTGAAGCATCTCCAGGGATCCAATAGCACTTGCAGAACTATAGAAAAATAGGCCTTTCTGTCAATGTATTCTGTAGCAAGGTGGCTGGCACCAAGATAGGGATGTGTATTCTGTCTATTCCCCCACCACAGCTGGGAACCCCATTTTTGCAAATCCATCCACCATTTCTTGCATATTGCTGGGAGTCACAATCCTGCACAGCATTCAATGGCCTTACACACTTGGATGACAATGGCCCCCATTGTGGATTTTCTAACTTCAAAATGATTTCCCACTGACCAGTCGCAATCCAGTGCTTTAAGCTTCCAGAACATGATCACCACTACTTCTCCACTGTCAATGAGCTCTCATTCTGTCCCTGCACTGGAGGGCTAGGGTGAGCATGGCACAGGATCCAGGAATGTGGCCTTTTGCATCCAAAAGTTCTGCAGCCACTGCTCATTGTCCCAAATCTGCATTATGTGCCATCGCACCAGTCAGTGCTGGTTTCTTAGGCCCAGAAGAAATGCTCCACAGTCTGCAGCTGCTCCATGCATGTCACAAGCGATCTGGGATTTATTTATTTTTTTGCTATGTCCATCAGCAATCTCTCCTCAAAGATATCCTCATCTTCCTCATTGTGGTCCCAGCTGTTGCAGTGCTCCCTGAAGGTCTGTAGGGAGTCTGGAACAATTTGTATAGTGGGGGTGCTGAGAGCCATTGAACCAAACTGTAAACCCTGTATATAATGGAAGCCACTTCAAGCCACTCCCCTATGAAGGTCTGCAAATACAGAAGAATTGTGTCCTGTATTTACAATGGTCATAAGAATAGTGCTGAACTATGCAGGTTCCGTGCTTTGTTTAGGGATAGCAGACAGAAAAGCACTGCACAGGATTGTGTGATTAAAAAAAGCACTAAAATTATGGGCTGTGAAAGGTATTATGGGATGGAGAAAATTGCATGCTGGGAACTTAAGCCCTAGCTCTCAGCAACCCCTGGGTGAATCATTAGTATCCCCCAAAACACTGCAAAAAAGTCCCAATAAGCATTGCGCCAAACAGCACAGCATGGCACACAGGTATACTTACCCATGGTCCATCACCAATGCAAGCAGCCAAGAATGCATGCACCCAAGTAATATCCAAACTTCTGTACTGTATCCTACCAGAACTTGTGCTGACCAAAGGTTGTAGGGGAGACATGGCCTCTGACTTGGAAAAGAGGCAATTCATTTCAGTGGAGCAGAGAAAGTGAAAAGAGACAGAGAAGGGGGTAAGAGAAGCCCATGAGAAGAGACAGCCTACACAAAGTGCTTAGCAACAAAGGGGAGGAGATAGAATATGGGGTTGAGTGAAGATTGCTTTTAGGCTAAAGGAAAACAGCAAAATTAAGCACAGAAGGGAAGGATCCAGAAGAGAGAAAACAACAGATTGAGTTTGACTGATTGACAAGGAAGGAAAAATCACTGTCAACAGACTAGCTATGCTGGCAAAAGAGCCCTAGTGTAGAAGCATTTAGACAGCAATAAAGCCTTTTTGCCAGAACAGCTTATTCCTTTCTGGGAACTGGTTTACGCGATAATGGCAAAAGCACTCCCTTGCCATATAAACTGCATGGTCCCGAGAGGTTTGCTGGTGCAGCTCTCCCAGGAGATCTAGGCTGGTATGGAAG